CCTCGGCCTCCCAGAGAGCTAGGATTACAGGCGTGAGCCACCGCGCCCGGCCCTATTGTGTAAACTTTAAAAAACATCACATTATATGTAAACATGTTTTCCTCTAATATTTTAAAAATACTATTTATAGGATCATGTGGACTAAGGATTGTTAAAATGTATCTTCCTGGGAGGAGCTCTTTTGCCCCACAAGATCACATCTATAACAATGTAGCTCAGTGTATCTGGTTTTATGTCAGTTTTGGTGTCATCTGTATTTGGTGTAGTTCATAAATAAATGAGAAGAATTTAACAGCAGATAAATAAATGAGATATAATATGATATGGTTTATAAAAATACTTTTGGAGTCAATAGATTCATGTCCTATTTTTGCTGCTTATTTTTTTTTAGAGACAAGGTCTCACTCTCGTCGCCCAGGCTAGAGTGCAGTGGCGTCAATCATCACTCACAGCAACCTCAAACTCCTGGCTCAAGCGATCCCTCCTGCATCAGTCTCCCAAGTAGCTGGGACTACAGGCATGCACCACCATGCCTGGCTAATTTTTCTATTTTTTGTAGACATGGGGTCTTATGCTCAGACTGGTCTCAAACTCCTGGCCTCAAGCTATCCTCCCGCCTCGGCCTCCCAAAGTCCTAGGATTAGAGATGTGAGCCACCGCACCTGGCCGGATGTGTTTTTATATGGGTTGCAGTTGTGTCTGTACTTACATCCAATTAGTATGCTTTTAATTCCAGGTACCAGAAAACCTTAAGCTAGCTTATGATGGCTGTTTATTTCCTGCTATGATCTGAATGTTTATGTCTTCTCCCCCAGCCCCCAAATTCATATTTTGAAATCCTAACCCACAAGGTAATGGTATTAGGAAGTGGGGCCTTTGGAAGGTGATTAGGTCATGAGAGTACAGCCCTCATGAATGGGACTAGTGCTCTCATAAAAGAGGTGTAAGAGAGCTCTTTCATGTTCTCCACCATATGAAGATGCGTGCAGGGTTGGGGAACCTATGGCCTTTGAGGTCTTTAAATGCAGCCTTTTGGCTGAATCCAAATTTTACAGAACAGCTCCTTTTATTAAAAGGGGTGCAGCAGAGAAAGATGAAGCTTTTCTTGCCCCACTTTGGTGCTTAAAAAAGAACAATCTTGAAATCAGAAGGCTGCAGGTTCCCATGCTGTTGGTGAGGAAACAGGCCCTCACTGGACTCCAGATCTGTAAGCGCCTTGATCTTGGACTTCCCAGCCTATAGAACCATGAGAAACAAATTTCTGTTGTTGATAAGCCACCCAGTCTACAGTATTTTGGTTATAGCAGCCAAATGGACTAAGAAATTTCCTTACATGACCAGAAATTGAAGATATAGTATGATTAAGTATCTTATTTATATCATTAAGGACCCAGTTTCTTTCTCTCTTTGGATTTTTCTTATCTTCAGCGTTGGCCTTATCCTAAGGCTATTTTTTTTTTTTTTTTTTGAGACAGGGTCTCACTCTATTGCCCCGGCTAGAGTGCCGTGGAGTCAGCTCACAGCAACCTCAAACTCCTGGGCTCCAGTGATCCTCCTGCCTCAGCCTCCTGGGTAGCTGGGACTACAGGCACACGCCACCGTGCCCGGCTAATTTTTTCTATTTTTAGTTGTTTGGCTAATTTCTTTCTATTTATAGTAGAGACAGGGTCTCGCTCTTGCTCAGGCTGGTTTCAAACTCCTGAGCTCAAACAATCCGCCCGCCTCGGCCTCCCAGAGTGCTAGGATTACAGGCGTGAGCCACCGTGCCCTGCCTAAGGCTTTTTTTCCTTAGAGTTACAGTGTAAGTGCCAGTGGCTATAAGCATTCTTGCTGAATCCTGTGAGAGACAGAGACAGGAGACAGGCACACCAACCTGCTCCAAGCATGGAATATAAAGGATTTGATTTGGACTGATGAGGCCAGCTCAGGTCACGTATCCACAGGGACAACATATACTAATTGGCTTAATTCAATCAGATTCTACCTGGAATTGGGTTTGGGAATGTGTTCCCTTGAACAAAGTCAGGGTTCAGTTAGTAATCAAGAAGTGGAGAATAGCTAATTGGGTAAGCAAACAATAGTGTCCACCAGAATACCTTTTTTTTTTTTTTTTTGGAGACAGAGTCTGGCTTTGTTGCCCTGGCTAGAGTGCCGTGGTGTCAGCCTAGCTCACAGAAACCTCAAACTCCTTTGCTCAAGCGATCCTCCTGCCTCAGCCTACCGAGTAGCTGGGACTACAGGCATGCGCCACCATGCCCGGCTAATTTTTTATATATATATATTTTTTGTTTGTTTGTTTGTTTGGTTGGTTTTTTTTAGTTGTCCAGATAATTTCTTTCTATTTTTAGTAGAGACGGGGGTCTCGCTCTTGCTCAGGCTGGTCTCGAACTCCCGACCTTGAGCGATCCACCCGCCTGGCCTCCCAGAATGCTAGGATTACAGGCGTGAGCCACCGCGCCCACCCCAGAATACCTTTTTAAAAAAGTATTTTTTTCTGATACAAAAAGTACTTGTTCATTGTATAAAATACTTGGAAAATAAAGCATAGCTGGGAGAAGGAACTGAAAAAGCACATTGAGATCATGCACATTATTTTTATTTTATTGGCTGAAATATATTTCATTGACTGGATGTACCCTAATTTATTTAACAATTCTACCATTGGATATTCAAGTAGTTAGAGAGTCTCACTGTAATAGTCCACACAACAATGAATATTACGGGGCATAAAACATTTCATTTCTGTTGACTATTTCCCTTAGGATTACTTTTCAGTATAAAGCTTCTTCATACCTTCATACCACGTGTATGTTGCTTTTATAACATAGTACAGTTTTGTTTTCCAAAATGGTTGTATCATCTTAAACTGCTATCAGAGTGTGAGTAAACCAGTTTCATTATAACCACTCTATCATTTGGTGTTGTCACTTAAAAATTTATAACCAATTTACTAGGTGTAAAATGGTAAAATGCTTTTGACATGACCTTGGTGGCATTATCTTTATTCTGGTAATGTTGGTGGCATTATCTTTATTGTGTTTGGCTTGGGGTTTTATTTACTGTAGGGATCTGCAAAGACTTGGAGAACTTCAGTCTGAGTTGGCAGGAGTAGCTGACTTCTCTGCTGCCTATCTTCGGTGTCAACTACTTCTCATCAAGGTTGGTTTGGATCCATTATGTTTATGATTGTGATGCTAAGAATGCACTTTCATGGGGCCAGCAGTGTTTAAGGCTGTAGGTTGAAAAACATGGTCTTATGCAACCACTTAGCAATGGAGAAATTATGTATGCTGCATATAGTTCATTATATTTGTCTCGAATTAAAGAAATATTAACTTACATAGATATTTGAGTTTGTAAATTTTTGGAGAATTCTTTTCATCATATAATTAGAGCAGACTGAATAATCATTTTAATTAGAATCCCAAGGATTCTAAATGGATTTTAAGGATTCCTAAGGATTTTTAAATGTTTTATATAATTTGATTAGCAAAGGACTTGTATGAATTTTTATATTAGTTTCTTAAAAGTGCTCATTTTATTTTGTTAAAGTGTTGATTTCATTGCTCTTAAAAAGACCAACTTGCTAGCATTTCATTCTAAATAGTCAGATAATATATGTACATAAAATTGGCACCCAAGAAGCTATTTAATTTTGTTGTGTTAGAAACTAAGGGTATCATAATTTTTCTATATTTTGCCTCCCAGGGAGGCCTTTGAAATTCATCTTTATTAAAAATCAAAATATAACCAGGGTACTGAAAGTCAGTATGTGAATGGTGTAATTGTCACATGTCCTATCTCATGCCATTCTTGTTATCTGATCAGTATTTTTTACTGAGGAGCACCTCATTCTAGCATTAATAATAAGGTACTTTTAAGTATAGCAAACTTGTATTTTTGTGGTATAAAATTAACTTGGCGTGATAATTCCTGACTATTATCTACCCTGCAACTTCAGTTTCTTCACGGACTATGCATTCAGAAATAAGCAGCGGATTTTATTGAAATCTAAAGGCATTTTTCAATGACATTGTTATCAATCATTAATTGGCTCAGGACCTTTGTAATTTTTATTTAACTATATAAGTTGTCTATTTTTACACTGCTTTTTTCAGTGTGTTTCTTTATATTTTTTCAGTTTTATGAATGCATGCTTAGTTTATTATAATCCATAACCACATAATTAATCCTTGTAATATAGTGCTTTAGTGTTTTGTGAATGAAGTTGAATGTATTTTCAAAGAGAAACCTTTAAAACTTTAAAAAAATAAAAAATAAAAAGCCAATTAAACTAGTTTCTGCAGCAGAGTTTGTTATAAATTTAGTCTTAGGATATAAGAGAGCACTTCTCACTTGATAAACCTTTATCTTGGCTTTAGTTCTAAATGTTCAGAGTCTTCAATGTGATTAATGATATTTGACCAAAGTCAGAATAAATGGGGAAGTCAAAATGATTTTCTAATGTAAGATATGTAGCTTGTGCTAAATGTTCTACATTGGGTTGTGCAGGTGGTGTGTTTGTATACATGTGAAGGTGGGCGTGTACACTTAGTCAAGTTGGTATATAAACAGTCCTTGTCAGGCTAGATAAATTCTTTCAAATGTATATACCTGTGTAACCACTACCACAAGCAACATAATAGAACATTTGCATCACCCTAAGAAGTTCCTTCGTGCCCCTTTGCAAAGTTGTTTGCCTTTTCCAAGCCTCTGTGAAACCCCAGGAATACAAGGAGTCCTTTGAAAAGAATCTACTTTTCTATAGTGGCAAAATATGGGGGAGAAAAATTAGATGAGATTACTCCTAAAAGGAACACAGAAGTATGTTTGTTTCTCATTGTCAAGTAACCAAGTAGGTATGGGGCCCAGACCTAGACCCTGAGACAGATGTGTTTAATAATAAGAGAAGAGCTAAATACATTGTGGTACAACACTGTATTCTATAGTCAGTAATGATCTTTATGAAAAATTGTACAATAACATGACAGAATACTTAGGGTATAATGTTATATACCCAAAAAAAGGGGAGCCAATTATAATCCTGAAGGACACAGTCCTGAACACCGTAATCCTGAATGTTGAAATCCCAAAAAATCAAAAACTTTAATGTCTGAAATCCCAAAAATCACAATCCTGAAAAGATCAAAATCCCAAAATTATAATTCTGGAAAAAATAAATTAAAAATTCTTTAAAAGATACTTATTTCTATTTTTTAAAGGGGATTTTTTTGAGAAACATATAACAACACAACAGAACACTTCATAGGCCACTTTACGCAATAAAATAGGCAACAATAACATTTTTGCAAGCATAAAACAGGTATACTAATGACAGTTGCATGGGTAGAACAGTTATGAATGGAGGGACCATATTGATAAAGAAATAGATCAAAAAGGGAAATGTATAAATGTATATCACTATAGTTGGTAGTTGTGTGCACCTAGCTTCATATAATAACTGTAATCATCTGAAATGTGACAAACAAGCTAAGTCTTTTGATAAGATCAGTGGAAAACTGCTATGGGTAACTTCTGCATATGTAGTCACCCAATGAGCTGAGATCTTGAGAAATTTTATCTTTTCCAAATGCAGTTGTTCAAAAAGAAAATCTATTCATTTACTGAGGAAGTTTCAATTCTTTTGCGTATATGCACAATCCTTACAAAGTCAGTGTTGTGATAATGCACTTCTGTGGAGTCAAATTTCTGATATCCAGGCAACAGAAGAAACGTCTGTCCCACCTGCCAGAGAGAGATCATTTTGCCCTCTGTATTTGTTCTTTCTGGGCCCTTGGCTGATTGGATGGGGCCCCCCAACATTGAGGGCAGATAGTCCCCACCTAGTCCACTCAGACGCACACACTGTTCTTCTCTTGAAACACTCTTACAGACACACCCAGAATAATGCTTTACCAAATTTCTAGGTATTCCTTAATCCGATCAAAATGACACCTAAAATTAAGCCCACAAGTCCACCCCTTGTCAACTTGGCACCTATACACAGCTCCTTAAACCATACTTAAATTCCAAATTAAAGACAGTAACAAGGTAATAGTTCCAACTAACACGATGCAACTAACATGATGGACCTATCCTGCAGGCAACCGAAATACACTAATTCCCTCCCCAGAACTGGGCTTTCAAGATTTCATTCGGGATTTTAGTCTTTTATAATTTCAATGTTTGAGATTGTTTTGTGGGATTATGATCCAAATCCCAAGAAAGGATACAAAATTAATTGTGCTTTCTGACTACAACTATATAAAAAACAGGCATGTGAGAAATGACTGGAAGTAAATATTTAATACATTTCCATAGTCTATCTATAGTCTAGACCTACTGCTATTTAATATGATAGCCACCAGATAGATGTGACTATTGAGACTTGAAATGTTATTAGTTCAAACTGAGATATGGTGTAGTACAAAATAAACACTGAATTTCTTAAAGTTAGTATGAAAAAAATGTAAACTATCTTAGTAATTTAAAAAATATTGCTTGGTATATATCTTAGATATACTGGGTTAAATAAACTTTTTAAAAAAACATTAATTTCACCTATTTTTAATTTTTAAAATGTGGCTATAGAAAATTTAAAATTTCATATTTGGCTCACATTATGTTTCTGTTGGACAGTGTTAGTGTAGGTTTCCTGAAATGTCATTCTATTACATCTGTAATTAAGAAGGACTGAGAAAATCAGAGGCTCTAACAGAGGTTTAGATAAGAGATGAGGTCATGTGGATGGATAGGTAAGGAGAGAGATGGAAGGTAAAATCCATGGCTGTAAGTGATGGTATTGAATGTAGAAAGATTAAGAGAGGAAGGAATCTAGGAAAAGCTGCTCAATTTCTAGTTTGGGTATGTTGCTAAAGTGAACAGGGGGTTGGTTATTCAAAGCATAATGAGCAGATGGGCAAAGAAAAAAGAGCCACAGTCAAGGAAGAAGGGTCTAGGTGGCTCAGGTAGTCCAGTGGCTCTGGAAACAAGGAGCACGCAGAGCTCAGGAAGCTGGCTTGCTACACAGTACACTGTGCTTCCAAACACTGGTGTGTGACTCAGGGCCTTGGGGCCAGGAATTTGATCAAATGGGCAGCAATTCATTTAGCCCAAACCATTGGTCTCCTCTTTCTCCATAATAGCTAGTACTTACTGGCTTAAAGAATAAGATTGATTGAGAGGGAGTCCTATTCATGGTAGACTTTCAAAGCAAAACAAAAACATAAATCTCAAATGATATGCCAGTCTTTGTGATGTCAGTATTCTGTTCTCTCCTAATTTGTCTGTGTAGGCCTTACAGGAAAAGCTGTGGAATGTAGCTGCCCCTTTATATTTGAGGCAGAGTGATTTGGCCTCAGCAGCAGCAAAACAGGTAAGCTTATTCAGACCTTCCTCTCTGATAGATCTCTCTCCAAGGAATTGTCCAGTCCAAGGTAGAGCCAGAGGCCTTCCCATGGCCCCATGCCTGTTCTGTGGCCTCCCTAATTTCAGGCTGTGACAGAAGTCAGTGATATGAGAAGCAGCATAATTAGGGGACACAGCATTAACTTTGGAGTAAGTTCTAGTCCCAGGTCTGCCTCTAATTTGCTGAGTGATATTGAGCAAGTTACTTAACCTCTCTGGATTTTTTTTCCTCTGTAAAGTGTGTCAGTTGAAATAGATGATTTCTAAGATTCTTTTGTGTTCCAAAATATCAGTTTGTATTTCCGATATGCTAAAATCTAATAAATACTATGAATTTTTCATGTGAAAATATAGCTTAACTAATTTTGAGGTTATCTCTTTAGCCTGTCCCATTTCTTGAATGTTAAAAAGTTCCTGGCCGGGTGTGGTGGCTCACGCCTGTAATCCTAGCTCTCTGGGAGGCCGAGGTGGGCGGATTGTTTGAGCTCAGGAGTTCGAAACCAGCCTGAGCAAGAGCGAGACCCCGTCTCTACTAAAATTAGAAAGAAATTAATTGGACAACTAAAAATATATAGAAAAAATTAGCCGGGCGTGGTGGCGCATGCCTATAGTCCCAGCTACTCAGGAGGCTGAGGCAGGAGGATCACTTGAGCCCAGGAGTTTGAGGTTGCTGTGAGCTAGGCTGACGCCACGGCACTCTAGCCTGGGCAACACAGTGAGACTCTGTCTCAAAAAAAAAAAAAAAAAAGTTCCTTAAATTTCTAATTAGTTCATTAAGTAGCATTTACTTTTATTTGCCTTGAGTTTATTTTCTTCTAGCTTTGAGCAGTTCCCCTTTGTCCTCAAATATTGAGACTTGGTGAACTCTTGTGAATCATGTCTTCCAGATAGTCAATCTGTGTATGACCCAGTAAGAAGCTAATGATGGTGACTGTGATTATTACATTACAGTTCCCTAAATGATTTCAAGTCTGTTATCTTAATTAACCCTCACGGTAATCCCATTAGATAAGAATAAATATTATGTTCATTTTACAGAAGAGGCAGTTAAGGCTTAGGAGGATTAAATTCATAGAGCTATATAAGTTGTAGGGTCAGGGTCCTTTGATACCAAGAATCTGTTTTCTTTCTGCTATACCACCCAATCTCTCATCTGATCTAGACTCCCTCTCAGACCTGGTATGTGGCTTATTGTAGGGGAGTAGCACTTAATGATTAGAACCCCAAATTGGACCATATTGGGAAGGATGGGACTGGGGAGTAGTAGTTTGGAAGGAAGAGAGAAAAGGAATTACCATTGCTATATACCAGATACTGTACTGAGCACTTTCCATGCCCCATTTGATACTTTAAATTTTATGTTGGTGGTGCTATTTCTTCCCTTTTTATAGATAGAGAAACTGAGGTACCACATAATTAACTTGACTTACTGCCAATTGTAGGAGAGCCTAGAGTCATTTCTCTGACCCTAAAGTGTTCAAAGGGAGGCAAGCACAGAAGGGAAAGAGAAGCATCATTTGGATGGAAGTATCTTATTTGGATAGAATTCAGCAAGAACTTAAGATCCTCTGGACTTGATCTGGGGTCATAGACACTGTTTTCTGCACTTAATTCCCTTCTCAAACTCCCTCAAACAGACCAGGCCTATAGAGCAGTCTGGATGACTAACATGTAGTTAATGGTTCCTGCGCTTAATTCTTGAGGAGTTCCTGGGGATTGGGTTTCTGTGCATAATATATATTAATATGTTCCAGCTGCACAGTGGGTTTGGTTTAGGGTAACAAGCAATGCTTTCAGTGCTTTGCAATTTTATCAATGATTAAACCTTCATATCTTCATATCAACAAGTAAGATGATTTTATTACCAGATGAAAGTCTTTTTTTTTTTTTGTAATTGACAAAATAATTTATTCTCTTTTCACAAGACAGACTGTACTAATTTCTCTCAACATTTAAAGCATAGAGACTTAAAATCTCAATTCAGAGATTTACCTAAGATCATTAAATAGTAGAATTCTGTACTGCTCTCTAGTTAAGACTATGATATTTTTGCTGATTGTTAATTACCTTTTATTTATAGATCATGGAAGAGACCTACAAAATGGAGTTCATGTACAGTGGTGTGGAGAATAAGCAAGTGGTGATCATACATCACATGAGGCTGCAGGCCAAAGCTTTGCAACTTATAGTAACGGCACGAACTACTCGAGGGTAAGTTGTGAGGTTAGCCAAAAGGTGTGGCATGCTCTTTTCAAAGACACTTCCAAATGCATTCAGACATTACACCAAGGTTAATGATAAGTAAAATGAGATTTAGGAAAGACGAGCTAAGGGATGTGTGATCTATTCATTTTTTCTGATGTTCCAAGTTCTGTTCTTGGATCAGCTTAGATCCGTTGCAGTCTGATCATGTCTCTCTCTTGCGAATATCCCTCCAGTGGCTCTCCAAAACCTGTAGCACAACATCGGACTTCATCTGGCAACAAGGACATTCTATATTGTCCTGTTTGATAGATTTCTTTAAGAATTTAGTTCCAGAAACCACTTTATCTCTTCTGAAGGTACTAGTAAGCTTTTTCCTGAACAGTAAAGGCAAATTAAGAGGACGTACTGTGATGTCAGACTACTTTGTTCAAATCCTGACTTTTCCTCTTAATAGTTGTTTGATTATGGACAGGTTTTCTAACCTCTCTGTTCCTTGTTTCCCTGTCTGCAAAATGAAAACGATAACATCTATCTCGTGGCATTTCTATGAAGAATAAATGGGATAATACATGTAAAAAACACTTAGCATGGTACTTGGTACTTAATAGGAGCTCAATGTGATTGTAGCTATAAGACTTTTTGATAATGGGAGTTGCCACGTTTCTTTGATTCTCAGATGCACATTTTTTATTATTATAACTTCTCTGAAATCAGATATTTTGATGATGTGCCATAGTTTGATTTTTTTTTTTTTTTTTTTTTTTTTTTTGAGACAGAGTCTCTCTCTGTTGCCCAGGCTAGAGTACAGTGGCATTAGCCTAGCTCACAGCAACCTCAAACTCCTGGGCTCAAGCAATCCTCCTGCCTCAGCCCCCCGAGTAGCTAGGACTATAGGCATGTGCCACCACACCCAGCTAATTTTTTCCATTTTTAGTTGTCCAGCTAATTTATTTCTATTTTTAGTAGAGATGAGGTCTCGCTCTTGCTTAGGCTGGTCTCGAACTCCTGACCTCAAGTGATCCTCCCACCTTGGCTCCCCAGAGTGCTAGGATTACATGTGTGAGCCACTGCACCTGGCCGCCATAGTTTGATTGAAACTGTTGGTATTTTTTAAAATAAAGATACATCTTAAGAATGATGGTATTAGGCTGGGTGTGGTGGCTCATGCTTGTAATCTCAGTGCTTTGGGAAGCTGAGGCAGAAGGATTACTTGAGGCCAGGAGTTTGAAACCAGCCTGGGCAACATAGCAAGATCCTGTCTCTACAAAAAATAGAAAAAATTAGACTAGTGTGGTGGTACACGCCTATAGTCCCAGCTACTTGGGAGGCTAAGGCAGGATGATCACTTGAGCCCAGGAGTTTGAGGTTGTTGTGAGCTAGACTGTTGCCACGGCACTCTAGCCTGGGCAACAGAACAGGACTCTGTCTCAAAAAATACATATATGTTAGTAAGTTATATTGGCTTCCTATGTTGCCTGGATTATTTACGTATGCAATAAGTTTTTACTAAAATGAAAACTTTTTCTTAAGTAGTGTGAGGGTAAAGAAACCAAGATAGAGAGGAAGGAACAACATCTGTGTCTGTGGGCAAAGTAGTAAGAAAACCTTTTTCCATTTTGCATGAGGATTTGCCTTTGATTAACTTTCCGGGTGTGCTCCCTGGAACTCTGATAATGTCAACTATATTATTAATAGTAGCCTGTATTGCTATGAAAATAATGATCTCTGGGTAAATTGCATCTAGACTAGAAGGAAATATAAATGAACTGCAATTTCCATATGCAGACATCATAGCTTTGGGCTTCATTGAGTGCAGTGATTCTTATAACTGGACATATCCATTGTGGGGTCCCTGGAGGCTATGCCTATGGAGTTGTTTCAAGAGATATTTGCATCTATGGAAAATGGGGCTTCTAAGCTAGGATGGTCTCCACACCTGGCTGATGTGGATCTCATCTCCTTGTACTCCTGTCAGCTGCGGGATCAAAGCTCCCAGACTGCTATGTGGACTGCTGCAAGGATTCCTACAGAAGGAGAACTTGACACTGTACTACCTATAAGCTGTGCTGCTGTCTTGTATCCTTAGTGAATCTGGTGCCAAGTATAGCCTGTGATAGTCTTTGATTTTGAATGTTTATTGAGCTTAATGGGCACTGCAGTGGTTTAATCAGGTCTCAAAATCCTGACTTATATTTTCCTCTAGGTCCCTAGTCCTCTATTTCTTTTAGAGATTTTTTTTTTTTAGTTTTTATAGATTTAGGTTGTACAAGTGCAGTTTTGTTACATGGATATATTGCCTACTGGTGAAGTCTGGGTTTTTTGTGTAGCCATTGCCTGAATAGTGTACGTAGTGTACACATTAGGTAATTTCTCATCCCACCCTCCTGCCTTCCAAGTCCCCAATGTCTATTACTATAGTCCTTTTAGAGATCATTTTATAGTGTGATATGCTCATTCTCCTTTCACATAGGCTCAGGTTTCTGGGACCCTTGGTCCTCGCTCCCCAGTATGCAGATTTCACAAGCAAATTGCTTATCATTATTATCTGTTGTGCATTTCTTTTCTACAGAGTTGACCCCTTATTTGGGATGTGTGAAAAATTTTTACAGGAAGTGGACTTTTTTCAGAGGTAAGTATTTTGTAACTCTCCTCGCTTTTTAAATCTTGGTTTTGCAGAGAATGGCACTTACAGGTAACAAGAGCAATCACAAGTCAGATTCCTTGATTTAGCCCATGCAACCAAACTATCATCTGTGGCAGTGTGCCCTAATTTGGTATTTTCTTTAATGGTATATAACTTTCTTTGAAGTTAGGTCTTCAAAACTAAGCATACAACTGAATAATAAGAACATCAGGAATCATTTGGATTCAGCACTCAGGCTGGCCATAAAATGACAAGTATTGTGAAGAAAACTTGAAAACTCTTTTGTTGGGGAAAAAAACAAAAAAACGACAACTTGTCTATTTTTTTTACTTCTGTTCCTATTGTTCTTAAACTTTAATATTTCTCTGTAATCTACAAAGAATTGTTCTGTAATTCTTTAGGTAAATTTTATTTTGTAAAATAGATATGTTTTCTCAGAGTTTGCTATGAAGTGAATCAGTTAAAACAGATGCAGTAGATGAATGGAAGGCTTGATGAATAAGTGGGAGTCAAGGTGGTAACCAGACCTGTGGTGTGCTGGCAGTATAATACTGGGAGGAAGACATTTGTAGGATTGTGAAGCACTTAATTAAGTTTAATATTTCATTTCTTCTACCCATTGTCCCTGTCCTCATGAACCTCACGAGACCTGGGGTTTTTGTGACTCTGTGCCTCTCATTCATTTTTCATTTGGGTGGTGATAGCTTCCCATAGGGCTGAGTTGCGGTACCACCTTCACCAACAGTTGATGCTCTCTATCAGATGCTACAGTCTAGCTTGGCTCTTTAAGATCCTGGTTTCAAATTTGAAGAAGTTCTTGTCTTACATGTGGTTTTAGATTCTTTAAGGTAGAGAGTCTATTTTTGCACAATTAGGTTGAAGAGGTTTTTGGAAACACGATGGCTCTGAATTACCAAAGTTTCTCATTTATTGTTAACTAGAGCTGCATATTCTTTCTTAGTTCAGCCTTTGAGTTCCTGCACAGATACTACCTCCTTAGTGAAATGTTTTGTGACTATCCCCTTCCACAAGGCAGAAGTACCTTTGAATCAGTTGGAGCTGGGAATAACTTACTTAACTTTTCTGAACTTCAGTGCAACATCATCCTCTCAGAGTCTCAGTGTTCCCATCCCGTGAATATAAGCTCCATTGAAATAGTCACTTTCTTCTCTCTTGTTTACTTTATGCTCCCAGTTTCTAGAATAGTACTTGGCACTTGGTAGGCCCTATAAACATATTTGTTAAGTTAATTAATGAATCTGTAATATGAATAAAAAAAAAATTGCCAGGCATGGTGGCTCACACCTGTAATCCTGTAATCCTAGCACTTTGGAAGGTGGAGGTGGGAGGACCGTTTGAGGTCAGGAGTTTGAGACCAGGGAAATAGTGAGATCCCACCTCTACAGAAAATTTAAAAATTAGCCAAGGGTGATGATGTGTACCTGTAGTCCAAGCTACTTGGGAGGCTGAGGCAGGAGGATCACCTGAACCCAGGAGTTTGAGGTTGCAGTAAGCTATGATGATGCCACTGTACTCTCTTATCCCAAGTAACAGAGGGAGAGAGAGGGGGAGAGAGAGAGAGGAGAGAGAGAGGAGAGAGAGAGAGAGAGAGAGAGACCCCCTGTCTCAAAAAAAAAAAAAAAAATTCTAATGGTGCACAGGATTGCTGGAAGTATTAAATAACATCATGTAAAACACTTAAGAGTATGCCTGACACATAGTGGTTACTCAACAAACAGGCTTTTATGATGATCATGTCACTAAGGCATAATTATCTGGGTACCTGTCTGTCTCTCATGAACTGTGAGCTTCTCTCAGTTCTTCACTCCTGCTTTAGGGCTTGTCAGATGTCTGGGCCTCAGCCTATGGTAAATGACTGTGTAGTCAGTTGCTTTTGTTTGTTCTTCCAGGTGTTTCATCGCTGATTTGCCCCACATGCAAGACAGCTTTGTGGACAAACTTCTTGACCTTATGCCCCGACTTATGACATCCAAACCTGCAGAAGTGGTCAAAATTCTACAGACCATGCTGCGGCAGAGTACCTTCCTGCACCTCCCCCTTCCAGAGCAGGTGAGGGTCTGTGTCATAGCCCTTCAGGCCAAATCTGTCCAGGCAGTCAAAACTGTTCGCCCTGGTGGTCTTCTTTGACCAGTGGAGCAGCTGGGCTAGGGCCCTTCCTCTGACTGGCTCCCACATGCTTACCCATTAGATAAGGAGACAGAAGGGCAAGGATCATGTTTTGTTGCCCAGGGTGACGTAACCTTAGAATCATCGTATTTTCTTCTTACTTACAGATCCACAAAGCCTCAGCCACCATCATTGAGCCAGCGGGCGAGTCAGACAACCCCTTGCGGTTTACGTCTGGTTTGGTGGTGGCCCTGGATGTTGATGCAACCCTAGAACATGTGCAAGATCCTCAGAGCACTGTGAAGGTCCAGGTCTGTCAAGTTTTGGTCCCCATGGAGCTTCTAGACTGCCCTTGTATTGAAGTATTTAACTGTAGTACCCCGATAGTCTCTACTTGAGGGACAGAAACTGGAACAGAAGAGATGAGCCTCTGTGGAAAAGAGCCTGGGCTAAAATCCCGACTCTACTGTTGAGTATGGTCTGGAGCAAGTTACTGTAAATGCTGAGCCTCAGATTCTGTGAATGACAAATAGGAGTAGTTGACATTGAAATGAGATAATGTATATGAAGCCACCAGCACACAGTAAGGGTTCACTAAATGACAAGATGCTTTGTAATCTTACAATTTGAGGTTAAGACTTGGCCTTTTATTACAGCAAACTGTAATAAACAAGTTGTTTTCAGGCTGTGGGTGCATCAGCTAGCAAATAAAATTTATGGGTGGGAAAAAGTGATCACTAGGAAATATTTTTTCCCAAGCTAAATAGATGTGTTAAAAACACATGAGACACTTGAAACTCAGACTTGGGGGGGAGCGGGGGAAGGGAAACATACTAAACACCTGTACCCCCATAATATGCTGAAATAAAAACCAAAAACAAACAAAAAAAACCACACATATGAGAGATGCAGCAGGACACTAATCAATTCAGTCTGTAATGAAAGTGCCACAAAGAGTACTTACTACCCATTCGTCCATCCTTTTGTCCTTCCATGCAATAGTGCTTACTCTGTGGCACATGCTAATAAGTGCAGGGTTGCCAGGATAAATATGTCACCGTTCTTGCTCTCAAGATGCCCATAGTTTCACTGAGAGACAGACAAATGAACAGGCACTTATAAAACAGAAGGTCAATGATTAGACATGCACAGGGTAAATTAAGAGTACTCTGGAGAGGCACTTAATTTGGAGAGTGTGGTGGAGGCTGAGGAAAGGAAAGGCTTTGTGGAGATGCTGGTACATGGGTGGGATCTGAAAGGATGAATAAGGAGAAGGGCAAAATGAGGTATTCTAAGCAGAAGGGTTATGAGTAAAAGCAGAGATACAAGCACTTGCAGGAAGTACAATCAGAGGACAGAAAAATAGTCTGGAGGAGGCAGGGAAGGCTTCCTGAAGGAGGTAAGGATGAATCAGGCCCTGAAGATGATACTTTTTGGCTATGGTGTCAGTAGAGGAACAAGCTTTCTGGTTTCCCTATAGGAATTATTATAAATTATGAGACCTGCAGAGGACTAATTGTCAGCTAGCTGTGAAGTTGTATTGCAGTGTTTTTTCCACAGTAGTAGTTCTCCACTCCAGCTGCACTTTAGAATTACTCAGAAAGCATTAAAAAGTACTGATGGGCTCACACCTATAATCCCAGCACTTCGGGAAGCCAAGGTGGGAGGATTGCTTGAGCCCAGGAATTTGAGACAAGCCTGGGCAACATAGTGAGACCCTGTCTCTACAAAAAGTAAAAAAAAATCAGCTGGGTATGGTTTTGGCGCATGCCTGTAGTGCCAGTTACTTGGGAGGCTGATGTAGGAGGATTGCTTGGGCACAGGAGTTCAAGGCTCCAGTGAGCTGTGATGGCACCACTTTGCTCCAGCCTGGGCAACAGAGTAAGACCCCGTCTCTAAAAAAAAAAAAAGAAAGAAAAGAAAAAAGTACTGATGAATAGGCCTCAGCCTATACCAATTAAATCAGAATCCTCAGAGTAGGGCTCATGGGTACCAGTATTTATTTTAAGAGCTCATAGGTGATTCTAATGTGTAATTAGTGATTTCTAATGAGAGCCACCATTTTACATTGTAGCTGAAAAAAAGTTCACTGACCAACTGAGCATAAATGAGTTTGCAGGCCAGTTATTTAAGGATCATCTGCCAGAGTCTATCGTGAAAATCCCTCTCAAGCACCTCTACTACATGCAGGGCTAAACTGTTTGGGTGCCTTATAGGTGGGGAGATGGGAGACTCACTGCCTCATCGTGGGACAGCTCCAGTGGTTTGAAAGTGCCATCCAGTCCAGCCACCACAGCTGAATACTTCCTCTGTTCTGGGCAATGCTTCAGGTGCTAGAGATGTAGCAGTAAACATGCCTCAGAGATTACATGGAGATTACGTTCTCTGTTAAAACAATGTATATCTGCCCACTGCTTCATTTGACTAGCCTAAAAAAAATAATAATAATAACGTTTATCTATTCTTTAAAGCAGACCCTCCAGGAACTCCATTTAGTTACACTTTTGTTAGCCTAATCCAGGTTACTGTATTATATACCTAATGATAAGAGGAGATACAATTTTTAGTTGCTCTGAAATTCAGAATATAATTAATTCATACTGCCCATTTTCTTCCCCTGACCTCCTTGGGCCACAGATTTCTAAGCCCCGTTCATGGGAGTAGTAGAGGATGATGGAAGGTTTCCAGCAACCATTTCATGAAGGCATCAAGGCCTTTCACCAAGGGCAGTTTTGTTGAGAATTGTGGGAGATTCTGCACCCTTTGTCATTGTTTTCCATGCTCATTACTGTTTCAGCCCTCCTGTGCCCTCCTTCTTAGAACATGAAGCCCAAGTACTTCTCTTTAAAGACAATAAGGATCAGGAAGCTGGGACACCTGCATCTTTCTGCTGTAGTAGGTTTAGGGGTCATGTAAGAGTGGGGAGTAGCAGCTTTAAGAAATAAGGGTAAAATCGGGGGAGAGGGGAGCCCCAAGGCTTAAGGAGACATGAAAGAAGATTGTGGGGAAGTGGGCTGAGATGTGTCACCCATAGTTAAAGTTGGAAGGCCTGCGTGGTTCCCTCCTCTGCCGTTATATTTACGTAGAGCAAGTCCTGTCTGGTCCTAGGATAACTTAATTTTGTTCCTCTAGTTCATTTGCACATTGTGCAGTGTAATAGGCCCTCTACACAGGTAGCTAGGAACCCCCACCCGCCAGATACTAAGGAAAGAACTTTGTGGCAGTTCGTGAGATTTGAGGAACTGGTCAGTGATTTGAGAAGAGTCTTCACTGAGCACTCTCTCTGTATAAAGAGACAGGTAAATTACTTCCTAGCTGCTTGAAATCCAGTGGAGAGAATACAGTTACAAAATAACTCTTAATACATGGTAGTTGGTGATGGATGCTGAGCTATGATATGATTCAAAGCCAGAGAGGGAGAGTCACTCTGATGGGAGTGCCTGGGAAGGCTTTTCAAGGTCAGAATTATTATTCTTACCTGTCCTCGTGCTTAGTAGACACTCTGTTCCTATCAGTCATTCACCATGAAGTCAGGAAATATTTACTGAACACTGCCTCATGTTGGGGCAGGGAGTATACAGATGTCTACCATATTGACCTCCTCTCAAGGAGAAGTCTTTTATGAAGGCTGATACCATTTTTCTTCTCCTGTTTTGGGGATCATAACAGATGTCACCCTCAATTTTGTTAAAAGCTCATCTTTTTTCTGCCTCTTTTTCTTATTTCTATTACCTCTTAGGTCTTATATCCAGATGGCCAGGCTCAGATGATCCACCCTAAGCCAGCAGACTTCCGGAATCCTGGCCCCGGGCGGCACCGGCTCATCACCCAGGTGTACCTCTCCCACACTGCCTGGACAGGTAAGGAGTCAGTGGGCCAGGGTGAGCAGGACAGTATGCGCCTGGAGATCACATCCACCCTTTAACATTTGGCTTTCGCAGTTTGAAAACATATGTGGTTAAATGAGGCTTGCCAAGGATTGAACTTGAGTCATTAAGGAGTTTATAAGCTCAAAGTGGGTACATTTGCACTAATTTGCTACACTGCTTTGATGGCATGAGGAACAGGATTCTATTAGAAAATATACAGCAGATTACAATAGAATGGCATCTCATGGAAGGGGCCCTGGTTTTGATGCCAGGCAACTATTTTCTTGTCTTAACTCTGCCACTGGGGCCGGGCGCGGTGGCTCACGCCTGTAATCCTAGCTCTCTGGGAGGCCGAGGCGGGTGGATTATTTGAGCTCAGGAGTTCCAGACCAGCCTGAGCAAGAGCGAGACCCCGTCTCTACTAAAAATAGAAAGAAATTAATCGGACAACTAAAAAAAAATATATAGAAACAATTAGCCAGGCATGGTGGCGCATGCCTGTAGTCCCAGCTACTCGGGAGGCTGAGGCAGAAAGATCGCTTGAGCCCAGGAGTTTGAGGTTGCTGTGAGC